ATTTCTCTTTTAGGTTCACACACCTATGTAATTGCTAGAATTATCTGAATACATTTAAATTCCTCCTAAAAGAAGGAGGGTGGCATTCAGACAACTCCTCTATTGCCCAGTAAGAATCATAAAAAAGGTAAGGGCTTATTTGAATCACAGTATGTAACTTACAGAAAGGAGTCTATTCTCCTTACTTTGTTCCAGTGTGTTCTGGTTAAAATACCCAGACTGTGGTCCTGTGAGAAGCCAAACACCTCCTGGGAACTGCAGAGCAAATTTAGAGCACTTAGCACTGCATCGAATCAGCTCCTAACTCAACAAGGGTAAGGAAGGAACTGAGGGAGGTTATCAGACTAAGAAGTGATAATCACAAAAAATGGTAAAAAAAACTTTAAAAGCACAGTGGAACAGAATTCTCTGCTGTACAAAAAAAGAACAGAAAAATATATATATATTTTAATATAAAAAAGAAAAAGCTGAATATTTTTGTAGCATTGCCTGCACTTTCTGTTCTTAAGCCTAAAAACTGTGAGTAGACAAGTTAGTGTTACATTATTTAGAATATCAAGGAAGATATTTTTACCCTTGGATAAAACATTAAAACCTCTAAAGGCCTCACTCATTCACAGATGGGAAATGGAAAGCCTTCCTATCATGCATTTTGGAGACAAAACCTTTTTTTCTGGAAATACTGATAAGGAACAAATTCAAACTGGTCCTCATCCACGCGGATCATCTCATTAAAACAATGGTATCTTTTAAACCCTGTATCCTGAGCTATCGGTCAATTTTGATTGACACAAATATTTGTATTAGGGGTTACACACTGCAATTTACAATTGGGGACTATCACAATACTGTATGTTAATGTAATCAGTATTTTCATTTCATGAATTCATTTGCAGCATGACACTGCAAGGGTATTCTTACATATACTGAAGACACAATTACTAGAGTAGTTCAACAATTCTCCTTTAAGTGGAATTTTTTTTATCTGATAAATTTTTAACACAATAAAACCACTCCTAGTTCTGTGTGCATGCTTTAATTTCCCACCTTTTAAAATGTTTAGACACTTGGAATACCTAGCATACAGAATTAATCCACAAATATTTACAAGAAAAATCTATTTAATTTCTTTCTATAGTAACTACCACAGGGACTATTGTAATGAAAAATTTCCCATCTTAAAGAATTAATGCGATTACTGATATAGAGAAGAAATGTAATTTATATCATCACAAACACGTAAAAGATATAATCCCATATTCACAAAAAGAATCTTTATTCCCTCTTTGAATTCTGAGACAATACAGTCTTGCCTTGAGGAGAACAGAAATATTATGAAGTACCTTAAGCAAGATAATTGTAGGAGAAAAAAAGTACAATTGCATTATTGTTGTGCTAAACTGTGACATACTTAAAAAGCTAATTTCTTTTATTTTAATGGAATTTGGTGTGCATATCCTTTAATCTACTTCACTATTTCTTCACATTTTTACACACAAACACATGTGTGAAGTGTTTCCCATTATCTGTATTACCTGGTTTAATGAACTGCAATGAATTTAAAACAATTAAAAATATACTTGGCAATTCTATAAACTTCACTCTATTTATTAACTATTTTGGAACTAACTAAATATCTAGAATGTCACAAAAATTCACAGCAAATTAAAGACCTACTGCAACTCAAATATTATTCAAGAAGACACAATCAATATTTGATGAAAAAGTAACGTTTGACATGAGTGACTGTCCCAAATTTTACCAAATACATTTCAACCAATCACAGTGCTGAACAATTTGCATCTAAATCAAAAGCTAAGCAAACAGAAATGTATCCCCAAAATAGGGCTTTCTACAGCTATGTCAGCTAAATGCATTTAAAATTCAGTACAGTCACCCTTCAATTATTCCTTTCAATTAAATAAATTTTAACCAAGAAATTAATCTACTGTGGCTGGGCATTTCTCTATTCCACAGAAGCAAACATTTTTTCACTCATTCTCCTTTAAAAAGCAAATTTAACAAAACTACTAAGACAAAAAGGATGACCTAATTAGTACTAAGTAATATTTAAAGCTTTTATATATGGTACACTCATATTGCTACCCCTAACTTCCAAGGCTTTATACTCACTGATACTGTTTGATTTATCTGGCACTACTGCTATTTGCTTAAGCATGCAAATTCACATCCTCCATTCCTGTATGCACCCAACATACACAGAAGGAGTCAAAACGTAGAGAAAATGTCCTGTGAGCTTTGACTGAATTACCTGTTAGGCACTGGGGTGCTCAGCAGGGACAGCCCTGGTGACCAGAGGTCTCCAACACACAGACCCACACGAGCCAAAGGCAAGAAGGAAAACTCCCCAGAGTGAGCAAAGAAGAACGTTCAAAACTGTTCTAGGAATCTCTTACCCTTTTCTACCTGACAAACAGTCTCCCTAGAAAACCTGAACCCTGAACAGATGCTCTCCCACTCCTCACCATTCAGCAGAGTGAGACACGAGAGATCACATCCAATGAAAATGTCTTGTATTTACTTCCTTGTAGTCCTAACTCCTGTAAAAGCACTGAATTAGTAGGGCTGTACTAATTAAGTTTGTTTCAGTTATCTGAACAGATCTGACCAGCTAGTTATGAAAAAAAAACCCCATCTAAATTATACAGAGTAATATCGGTTAAAAAAATGTAGGTCATGGAAGAAACAAACCATCAACAAATATAGCCAGGTTTATTTCAGAATTCTCTCTTTGCTCTGTTCAGACCCCAGTTTTATATATCAAAGCCTTTAAGTACACACTGGCCTTAAACACATGCTTAAAAAAGCTTTGCCCCATTAGGACCTTCTGCCTGGCACGCAGGACGCTGGGGACTGCTGGCAGTGTAATCCCCTGCAGTGAGCCTGCCCTCTTTTCCAGTGTGTGTGACCTACTCTTGGAATTTATGTCCAAAACAAAAAGATTATGTACAAAAAGATCAAATCACGTTGTGTCAGTGTGATGACAATGCCCAATACAAGCCCTCCTGTAAACTACTGTCCCAAAACACCACTGAAAGCAGAAGTCACACCTAGGAAAGTAATTACAGAGCAATAAACAAACAAAAAAGACTTTAAAACTAATATTTACCAAACATCAGTCCTGCAAATTTTTGCCACAAGCAGCCAATTCATAGTACATAGCAATGGCCCAGAGGTGTTTCACATACATAACTTCTTTCCTTAGAACAAACTAATAAAATCTCCAATATTCTTCTTTAAGTTGCCTTCATTTAGCATGAAAATGGTTTAAAGAATTTAAGTCAGTTGTACATTTTTTAAGAGAGAAAAGTGTATCTAGGAAAGAATTAGCCTTTTTTCAGAGTCATATGTACTAATATGTTTTTTACCATATAAAACTGAGAACAGTCCTTAAAAAAAAGTTTTTAGTTAATACCAGTGTTTTGGAGCCTCCCACTGGCAGCCATCACACAGCTGAAGTGAACTATCAGCTGAATGGAGGGTTTATATCCAGCATCAATGACTATTTTGCTCTGAAAGAAATTAGTATTTCTGAGTTCGTATTTTAAATGCAATTTAAAACACCATAAAGGAAAGAATTCAGCATTTATTGTGTGTCTCCCAGCAGACCACTTAATGTTCAAACATCTTCTATGCAAAGGTCAAATGATTTCACTGAATGTAACGGTGACAAAAGTATTCTGCAGCACTGAAAAAAATATCAGATGATCAAGGAAAAAGATTTGGACCTGAGATCTCACAAGAGTCACAATAAATAATGTAGATTCAGTTCAGTAAGAAAGAAAATTGCCAAGTTGTGTCAGGAGAACCAGATTAAGAAAGATAATAGGTAAAATACAAATTACATACTTCTGGAAATGCTCTTCATAAAGGAGTATTTTAAAGTAATACAGCAAATGAAATTTTATAAAAAAAATTCTCAAATCTTTTTACATAAATACTGCCTGCACAGAAGTGGAAAAAAAAGCTTATTCAGATGGGGAACCTCTAGGGTATTCTTCTGTAGGCAGCCACATGGATAGCTGCAGTCAAACAGAAATCCAGTGTAAATAATTGTGGTAGTTGTAATATACACAGGGCAAAGCTGCAGTGAGCACCCACTCAGGAATGGGACAGGTTACAGGTATGAAAAAAATCAACTCATTTTTGTTGTGTTTTTTTCTTCCTTGACTTTTACATCAAATATTCTAGGTTCTCATTCTTTCTAACATAAAGAAGTTCCTAAGTGCACCATGTACAGCTCTTGCTGCTGGTCATGGCTCCTCAAAGCCAAGATCTCATCACCAGCTACAAACATCTGGAAACCAACCCAAGAATTGCCCCTGGGATGTGTTTCTATGCAAGATGAATTTGTGGTGATCAGCTGCACCGGATCTGGGGAGATCCAGGAGATCACACCAGAGGAATGTCAAGGGCAGGAAGCAGAAATGCAGATGAGCAGCAAGTATAAAACCCCACAAGCAGGAGTAAAGTATGTGTAGAAAGAGGAAATAATAAAAAGGAAAACTACACGGCCAAAACAAACAAACAAAAACAATGAAACAAAAAACACCCCAATTTAAAAAAAAACAGAACACAGGACAAGGCAGCAAAGAAATAAGAAGCAAGACAAGGGAACAAAATATAGGCAATAAGGTAATGAAGAGCAAAAGCACAAAGCAGTGTCCACTTGTCCACTTTCTGGAAGAGAACACAGTATCTGTTACATTAAAAGAAAGTAAAAGGGCGTTTTTAGTTTGGTTTCTTTTTTTAATTAGACATATCCAATCAAGTCTCCATCAAGGATGGAAGATAAAGTCCTACATTAGTATTACACCTGACTGGGACTCCTGTTTGTGAGCTCACAAAAAGTCAAAAAAGAGAACAGTGTAGATATCACTAGTTTTATGTATTAATACAAAGGTATATAATTTTAATTATTAAATTATTAAATTTAATTAATTTAACATTTATTAAATCCTGTTCAGAAATATACATACGTTTTTTTCTGTGCTCAACCAGCTCCACAGCCTGCTTTGCTGAGCATTTTGAAAACCAGCTGTCCCCCAGCAGAACAGTGATCTCATTGGTGTGGACAAGCTTTCCTGGCATGAAGGCAAGAGGACCAAGAGGTACCTGTCAAAGACACAGACATCACTAATGAAAATAAAACTTGGGCAGTCATACATGTCTTAAGTATTTTAAAAAGTAAAACACAGATTTTAAAAAATAAAAATTCTACAGCAGATATTTAGTGACTAACCCATCATAAACATTCAAATGACCAGATCCACTTGAATTTAGAATTTTACTTACAAAATCTGAAAACTTGAATTTCTCCAACTTGTTTTGTTACACAGAACTATAGTACAGCTGAATGCTCACTTCAGATGAACATATAAACCTTGATAATACAAACTGAGTTATATGCCAACTACATTCATTTCCTAATAAAAGCCAGATCAGCTTTGCTGAATTTTTTTAAAATACTTAAATAGGTTTGATCAACTCAAAGATGAGTTGCTCTTCTTAGACTCTGCCTTGCTAACAGTGGGTACCCAGAAACTCCAGTGTAAGACACTGGGAGTCCCAGCAGGACCTCAGACTGTGTTTAATCTCACTTTGCTGGGTCTTTCACCAGGCTGCAAACCTCAGCCACCCAGGGATGCTCCACAAGCAACTCTTCCCCTCTAACAGCTCTCCAGGCACAAGGACAACAGATAAAAGCAGGACGCTTCAGGCAGGTGCACACAGGTGACAAACATTTTAGAACTTTACATCTGCTTCCTAAAATGTGAATCTCCCATTTTCACATGCATTACAACATCCAGGACACGGTTTTACGATTTAAGACATCTTCTACTGCCCAAATTTTACAAGCAGTGCTTGGGCAAGTCCTCTGGGTGAGGAGGAGCCTTGGCCACCACCACCCCTGTCCCCTGCAGCAGCTCTGGCCTTCTGACCCCCAGGACACTGCCACCTGCCTGGCTGCCTGTGGGCTTCTATTGTGAAGAAATTAGGAGACCAAAGTCAAATCAGATCTAAAATGGAGGTGGCATAAAGATAAGAACCACATCAAGTCTCTCTCTTTTTAAGGTAAAAAGACATCTATCTCAGATGGTTTGTATCAGCTCCCTCTACTTTATTCTTCTGCCTTCTTCCTCAGTTTCTCAGCACAGCCACTTGCTTTCCCATTTTGTTTGTGCTGAAGCAGAGCACTTGGCCTAATGGATCTGTCTCATTGAAAAGCAATCTTCCCTCTCTTCCATATCCAGGAGGGTCCCAGTGCTGGAACTAGTTCTCTAGCAGGCAGGAACCTGACATTAAGACTATGCAGAATGTGCCTTTTCTACACATGTGCCCTCCCTGACTTGTTTTAAAGTAGCAGACTGCACGAGTTGCCTATTCACTCTTCCCCCAAAATGATAAAAGTAAAATTAAAAGCATATGAAAATATTTGGCTAACAGGATAGGAACTGTTTCTATACATTTAAAGTAACATATGTGAATTAACATTGCTGTTTCAACTAAGAATAAGCCCTATCAGGCTTTCTTTCAAAAATAGGGGAGTTTCTGTGCTTTGAAACAACACAATCTTTATGCTTTACATCATATGGTCACACATACACACATGATAAATGGATTATACATAAAAAATCCAGAGCTGTATCACCAGCACAGCAAAGGGAAACCCTCCCTTTTCCCACATGGTCAGGTGTCCTCCAACACTGTCTTACTAAAAACCCAACTCTGTATCTGAGCCAGGCTGCTGAGGAAGGCAGCAGTCAGGCACTGAGTGCAGAAATCAGCCACTCAGTTATGTGCAGTACAACTTCCCTGCCTTCAAGGATGGATTTTGAGTTGAACCTGAGAAGCAAAGACGAAAAGAAGAGAAAGAAAAGCAAATTTGTTCAAAATTTTGGTGAGCATAAGCCAACAGGGCAAATTTTACACAGGGAGCTGTGCAGTTGTTAGGGAAGATTCAGAGCATCAGAAAAGATTGCTGTGTCAATGGGAAGATTGGTGGAACAGAAATTAGCAGCACCTTTTTATGTAAAAATCAATGTTCTAGGCTTTATTTCCATGAATCAGGAAATACTACAGCCACTTTCTTCTCAGGAAATGACTAAGTACCATAATTCAGTCATAATTATAGTTTTCTATACAATAGATTTACATATCAAACATGTCAGGTTTTGTGTTAAGCATTTATGTCATCAGCTTTCAGTTGTCAGTAACACTGTAATTTACAATGGATTTCAAAGAAAAGAGAAAGAAACAAAAGCAAAGGTTTAACTATTATCATAATAAACGTAACATTAGTAAGTACTGGCAACCTGACTAACACCTCACCCCCAGTGCAGGCAGCCCAGGTTTTAACAGTTTTAGCCCATTTTCTTGTGTGACCTCTGCCATGTACATACCATGATATCATAGGACAACTTGTCAGGCAATGTCTGGAGTCGTTCCTGAAGAGCCTCATAATCACTCTCCACCTTCTTCCTGTTGATAAATTCAAGCTGATTCAATTTTACAGCTAAAGAGTTAATGGTTTTCTGCTAGTAAATCAAAACCATGCCAAAAATACAGAAAAATTAACTGTTTTACTCTAACATATATAGCTGATAGATTAATAACTCATTTATAGAAAACATGGGATGACAAACATAATAGCAAGATTATTTTCTAATAATGTATATTAAGATAGGTACATGATTATTTTAGATTGTATATGTCTCGTTCAGAATTAGAATTTTTCATGGTGCAAAGAAGCAGTTCTTTCACTAGGATTTGGAGTATCTCACTCCATGTTCAAGACCAAGTTATAACACCACCAATATTTAGAAGAAAAACTGAAAATCCATTTTATTCTTTGTAAGAGGCAGATTCTTCAAACTATCATTTGTAATAATAGAGCTCATATATTGACCTCGGTTTGAGCTGACATAAATGAGCAAAATTTTAATTCTTATTTTCCCATGAACTTTGTGTTCCTATCAAGAGTCAACACTCCTGAAAGATGTCTCCATCACCAGGTTTCTGTCACATCTTCCAGTCCAGAGGAGGAACAAGCATCCCTTCTGACACTTCTGTAACTAAATTGCAAATAAGGCTCATGCTACATGTTGCTACCCAGGAGAGAAATGGTTTGGTGAACTGGGACAAAGTATTCATTCCCATGGCAGACACCTGGTTTTCCACAGGACTTTGCAAGAAACAGCATTTCAGTGGCTGCAGTGATTTTACTCTGCGTGCAGAACAACTACACTTCCTCTAAAAAAGCCTTTTGTAAAGGCATTCTTAAATTTTTAAATTTGTCTGGAAAAGATCTTTTAATGGACCCCTGACATTCTAGAGATGGTCAGAAATCAGCTCCTGCATGAAGTAGCTGGCATACAAATGTCAGGTTTGATGATACTATTTACTTGTACTTCAAAGCAATAAACATACATATGGTAGTAAATTCTGCAATAGAAGGCAACTGAAAGTACAGAGCAGCACACTTAACAATGCTGACCCAAGATGCAAATTACAGGTTTTCTGAGGATGATTCAGGAAAGCAATCTATAAATGTGCTGAAAAATGAATGTCATAGTTGACAACACAACTCTCAAAATATTACCATTGATTTTCTCGGATTCATAAGCAGAGGTGAAATCTTTTTCAGCATTCATTATGAAAAATTATCTGATACTCTTATGTTTTGACTCATTTGCTTCACAGTTGAACTCTGGTGTAAGCACCCTACTTTTTACCTATTTTAAGTTCTTGAACTCATATGGAAGAAAAGAATTTGGGTTTTTATGCCACTTGGACCTTAAAACCATATTCCACATAACTGATTTACAAAAGATGCTTGCTGCTGTTTGCTCTGACAGTAGATTTCTCTCAGACATTTTAGGCAAGTCTTTCTGTCCATTGCCCACATCAGAGTGAAAACATAATTCACTTCCTTCAAAAAGGAAGGATAAACTCATGAATCTTAGCAAAATGCACTGAGGTGTTTTGGGGGAGGAAGGAATATAATGAAAACTTGGTGTCAACAATAACAATCAATTACTTAATGCTATTTACAGAACCCAGCCACTGCCTTGGAGAGGTCTGGATTTGAGAAATGGACTCCAAGCAGTCACTAAAAAACAAGGCCTGGTACATGTCTCAAATGCAGGAGAGGACTCCATGGGAAGAGTTTGGCATGAAAATCCCCCACTCAGAGCAGGATTAAACATTCCTATTGTTTCATGGCTGAAAGTCACTCAACATTTCTTCATTAACCTGAAAAGAAGACACTGTCTTTAAGGTCTGACTGCTGCCTGTTACTGAACAATCCGATCAGGGTCCAGGAGAAATCACTTGCCAAAGAAGCTGTGCTACTTCAGAAGCAAAGCATCCTGCTTTTGTACTGGGACTGCTGCCCTTTGCTGAGCAAACCCCCACCATGGCAATCTCTGAAAGTGGGGTCACATCCTGAACTGGGCCATGCAATAAAGGAAATTTAAAATGATCCTTTTAAATAATTGGCCTGAAACAGCATTACTTAAGAAAGGAAGCTCCTTCTTCATGTATAGCTGATGGTTTCACAAGCTCTGGGGTGTGCCAGTGCTACAGCCTGCCACAACAGGCAACGAAGAACCAAAGGGAACAGGGAGAAAGAACATTGGGACTCCAGCTAGGAACATGTCCCTAGAAGGGGAAATGCATGGCTAGCTATTAATCCCATAGCAAACCCATTATTGGATTCATGGCTTTAGAAATATACTTCAAAAAGTGCACTGAAAAATGGAAAAGAAAATAATTTAATGGAAATATATTGAAGCTGAGCATTTTAAAACCCTATTGTTATTCACCCAATTCTATTTAACATTCTTCTGTGTCACTGACTACTTAAAAGGTCTTATATGAACAAATTATTCAGTTGAAACAAGAGCACTCAGCTCTTGCACAATCAAGACCTAAATAAGAGTACTAAATTTTAATTTATTTTTTTTTAATGAAGTAAAGATTGTATGGATGCTATACAAACTGCTTTTCAATATAAAAGAAACCAGTAAGTTATTTTTTTCACTAGAGGTCCTGTGCCCAAAACCCCCAGGTTCATGGGGTCATTGCCAGAGTTTGCATAAAATCAAACACAGGAGCAACTCCTCCTTCCACAGAGCCAACACTCCCAGACCACTCCACAAATCTCAGCCACTGCAAGAAGGAAAATAATTGTCACAATTTTTCCAAACTTTTAAAAATCAGTTCAAATTTTACAGCTTTCTGCCTAATAGTTTATTTCTGAAAAACATTGTCTCTGAGTGGAAGAATGCACATGCAGAATTTCACATGGGAGCCAGCAGGCACAGACACTGCAAAGCTCCTGAGAAAGGGCATGAGCTGGAGATATTCTGCCTGCCTTCACCACAGCAGCACCAGTAGGCACTTCAATATTTCTCTTATTGAAAATTAATGCAGCCTCTGAATTTTAAACATAAATGAAACATATTAGTTTTAGATTATTTTTGCGAGCCAATAGTCAGAATTTAATATGATGATGTGTATAGATTGCCTTGATTTTTTTCCTCTTATCCAGCGCTTGCAGCCTATGTGCATTTAAACTAAAAACATTTGATACACACTAAATATAAATTATTTGCTTGGAGATCTTTCAGGCATGAAGAAAAAGCCTCTTAAAATAAATTTAAAATATTATATGCTTGATGGTGTATAACCAAAGGTTTAATCTCACCACTAAAGGGGCAGTTGCTGTGATTCTGCAATAACCCTGCAGACAATAATCAAGACAGCTCCTGTTGTTCTCTCAGTAAAATCATGGTAAACACAGCATGGATATATCGTAATTTGATATCTGTAAGATCAACTGTTATATCTCACAGTAACTCATAATATAAGATTTCATTCACCATTAAATGTACATTTTCCTCAGATGCCATACAAAACTATTATTTACTAGGTATGTTTTCTATTAACCATAGATTGTCAACAGAGAAAAAAATGCCCAGAGATAATTTTTTTATATAACAAAACCATTTATTTTAAGTATTGAAAACTAAGATTTAGCGTGTTCTTTACTTGGGGGGGGGACAGTGAAACATTAATTTCCACTTTGTTTCAGCACATGGAGGGGGGCAAGTGGAATTTCCCTACTTGCTCCGTAGTTAGAAAACAACAATGTCTACCCTGGGAGCACCATTTAGGCAGATTAAGCATTTATCCAACAAGGTTACTTGGGCAAAACTGGCAGATGAGATAGGTTTTTAAGGCAGAAGTATAAACACTGAGGCTCACTGTATTTGTGATTTAATCATACCAGTGAGAAACAAATATATTTTAAGGAAAGTACATTGCAACAATTCTGAGCTATCACTAACTATAACCCCCAAAACACAATTGCAGGATTTGACTCCCATCAGAATTAACAGCAATACTTTAATAAAACATAACTAGGTTACTCATCAGTATTTTAGACATGTAGACTTTTTTTACTTACCAGTGCTGGATTTTTTCTTGGCAGCCAGTGACCACCTGTCATTAAAACAGATAACTACTCATGAAAAAAACAAGGCTAAGCACACAGCTGCAATGTCAATGCATCAGAAACTAGAACAAGAGCTTTACAGATTTGGAGCTGTCTCTAGCCACATTTTTATTTGTCAGGGCAAAGGCGTGTGAATGGTCGTTCTTAAGCAGCACACTTTATCACAGGCTAATGCAGAGTGATAACCACAGAAAAAAATTACAGCTTTCCACTTCTTATTTTGGTACAATACCTGCTCCATAACTATTACGTGACACAGGATCTCAGATAAGTACCAGTTTGTGCAATCTGCTGATCTATTTTCAGTGTTACATGTTTGCAGAATAAGAAAACAACATAAATTATAACAAGACATCAATGTAACTCCCATACTCAGTCATTAAAAAGCAAAACAAATGAATCTCACAGCACCAAAAACATTTTTCCTCTATCAGTACATCAACAAATGCTTCCACTGGCCACTTTAACTTGAAAAAAGCACAAATTAACTTTGTGCTGTGTAAATACATGGATATTTGACAACACGATGGGTTGCTGGTTTCTCTTCTTTCTGGGTGTCAAGAAATTAAGTTTTAATATAAATATTTCACTCACTTCCTTATGCCACAGGCTTTCCCAAGAGATACAAAAGAATTTAAAAAATAAAGTACACTGTTAAAATTAAATACTTTTATCTTTCTTACCTGCAATTTTTTAGACTACATATAGAAAACAGACAGGATGCTGAAACCTGTGACCTTCTCTGCCACAATTACATGGAGATTTTGTCTTTCAAAACATATTCTGATCTCTGAATAATAGTTACCAAAAATACAACACAAACCATTTCATTCAATTATATGAAATGCAATGAAGCCATGAGGCAGTTAAATATGTCTAGACAGCTTCTCAATATAAGCATTTTCTGAATTTTTTTTACAAATTTTGTTTTTCCTATAGCCAAAATAATGCTAACATTTGAAAGCAATTAATGAGAAAATTTGCAGAGAAAACAATAACATACATTCAAGTACCACTGAAATCACTGGAGCAGATAATTCTTTTTTTTTCCCCAAACAACAGAATGAAAGACAATTTTTTTTTCAGTTCGCATATGTGCAGCTTTTGCACAACAGATATCAAACCCTGCACTTCCTACTCATGCAGGAGTAAAAAAAATGGGAGTACTTTGTGAGCTAATAATTCTTTAAACAGAGCAAAGTTCTTAAATGAAAAGGATCAGCTTTACATTTGTGGTTACGTTATTTCATAATCCATCAGGAAAGTCAGCCAGGTAGCTCATCCCACATAAGCCAAGTTTAAATTTATCATTTGCTTTAAACTCCTACAAATCAAATGCCTAGCAAAATATCTTCCTTAATGTGCAAGCCAACTATTTTTAAGCTTGAGAGTAAATACACAGACTTGTACAAGACATCAAGCCAGAAATCTAATTCATACTATTAATATAAAGCTCATTTTAAGACTAAAGTCTCTGCAGAAGACATAAATTGTCTGGTAACAAAGCTGAGGAATACTGGAGCCCATCACTAACAAGTTGAGGAGTCCAAGCCTATTCTATCCACATCCTTCATCCTTTCACGTTTGGCAGTGATTGTGAAGTACACAACATAATTTAGCATACAAAAATGTTTATGAAATCCTTTAAGAAAGTTTCAATTTAATTGCCCCATTACGGATGAGGATGGAAAAGACTGTAAGCTTTCCATTCCCAATACATGACTTTCCATGCATGAAGTGAGCTGAAAGCACAAAAAGAAAAGCCCTACAAACCATAAGAGCAGCATGTTCATTAACCTCTACATGATAATCCTTTCGTAGCTGCATATTAACTAGTTACATATTCATAATCATTTACATTATTTAGAGGACCTTCTATGAAAATTTCTAGGCTATATCCATTAGCCACAATGTTAAAGGTTACAGAAGATAGTCTACTTAATGTTTCCAGGAAGCTTTTTTAATTAGTAAATATGTAAATTGGGCACATATGCTTTTTATGTTTTTAAGAAATAGCCCATCAGTAAAACAGCATAGGAGCATATGCTGTTTCCACCACCCTTTATCCCCTCAAAAAAAAAAAATTAAAAAAAAAAAGACAGAAAAATCAATAACACCAATCAATTTTAATTTAATTCTTCTTCTTTGATATAATCTCTCTTGAAGGGATACCAAAGGGTGGAACCAACAACACACCTTTTCATTTCAGTGGCCAGCATAGAATGAGTCCTTTTACAGAAGTGCTAAAATATACCACCTTAAAAATGTTGCAGGCTGCACTTCTGGAACTGAAGTCTATTAAAAGAATAGAGAGAATAAATATTGAAAAACAGATGGGAGATCAATTATGCATATGACCTTTATTAGGTCAGTCCCACTGTTTGGATAACAACTGGTTCTTATCACAGCAAAGAAACAGATAAATATATAAACAAATCTTTGATTCTTTGCCTTTAATCAAACACAGGAAAATCATTAGTCTATCTTCCACACATAATCTATATCCAGAGCTACAATTAAAGAATGAAAAATCCTTTTAAGGTAAATAAAATAAATGACCTGCTTGTGTGTTCACTTGAGACCAATTTACCTGGACAGCTAGCGCTACCAAGTATGCCTTACTTTTAGGACATCATAGTGAAGTGGTATCAACAAATTCTGAATTCTCCCCTTTTAGGCATAAAAATGTATGAGTTTGTGAATGCACATGGTTATCAGTGGCTTATCTGCATACTAAAATATTTATTAAACTACTCTTGTGCAGACTTAACATTACCTAATCATGGGTCTGGTTATTAAAACAGGATCCAGTGTCAGAAAACATATTCCAGGCTTAAAAGAAAGCAAATAGACAAATATTTTGTTTCCTTCATTTCCACCAACAGCAAGTTGTTAAAATCAGTGCTCCTCCAGCTCCTGACCTACCAGATCCACACCTGGAAGCTCCACAAGCAGCCCTGGGGACAGGGGAGAGGCCATCCCTGCACACCTGTAACCCACTGTGCAATTCCTGCTGGATTAAACCCAAACCTTTCCAGCAGAAGATTATGTGCTTGTTCTGCTGTCACTGCTACGTGCCTGAGCTATTTCTAGGGATGCCTGTGTTGCTGCTTTTAGGGAATCCCTCATTTGTAGGTGTCACAAGCAGAGCAGGAGGATCAGCTTTAGACCTGTGATCACATCCCAGGTGTCCCCAGCTCCACTTTACCAGCATGACCCCAAGGCAGATTACAGGCTAATGACTCCAGATCACCCCCAGGCAACTCCCATCATCCAGCCAAGGTCTTCATTAGCTGACCAAAGACAGAGAATTCCTTCTGCCTGCAACACATTTTCCCTTCCCAGTCTATTTATACACTACCTTCTCCATGATCTTGTATCCAAAGAGTTCAAAATCTCCTCCATGAATTCAAGTGAGCAGCACTTTGAAAAAGCACTGCACTGATTCTGCAGGCTGAGTTACAACCACTGGCTCTGCTCAGAGCTGGGAAGGGAAGTCAGAGCTCCTAACTCAGCAGCCAGGCTCCACAATCCAACATTTCCTTGGCAATGAGGACAGGTGAGAAGGATGCTGTAGCACAAAGCAGATCCTTACCTGTACGTGCCATGGGTCTCTAACCTATTCCACATCACCCCAGCAGGTCCTCACCCTCCTGTACAAGGGCACTTCTTTCCTGCACCTTATTTTTCCCTTATCTGTTACTTCTGCAAGTGCTCCCATTACTAACAGTTGAATATAATTCTCTGTGGTGCTTCTGATTAACAAAGTGGTGGCACAAAGAGTTCTTTTCTCTCCATTCCCAGACTAAGTTGTTTTATTCAGGTACTTCTCCAAGGTGGAGGGCATGTGAATGAATGCTTCTCCCTACTGAGCAGCTGGGCACTGCCTACAAAGCTGCTGGGTTCAGCACACAGAGGGCAATTCTCTCTCATCTCTTCTAACAGCAGCAAGACAAGCTGCCAAATCAGAACCTTATTTATGTCTCAGCTTGTGAAAAATTTTAAGTTAACAGAGCTGGGCCTGGTATTATCTACAGGCAGTTTGGGGTACCAATGTCTGTGTGAGTTGTGCAGTTACATTCAAGTCCAGAGAAGCAGAAATTTTTTATGTTTTTAAGACGGAAGTTAAATTCAATGAAAATCAAGAAACTAAAAATGTCCCACCAGATTAGGTACAGGTCCTAAATGAATGAGAGCTCATTTCCGCACTTGCAAGTATAAAGGTGGAAATGCAAAGCATGGCACAAAAGCTAAGTTTCCCTATAAACATGATGCAAGTTAGGCACCTAAGAGGCCAAACAAATGTCTGCTGGTTCTACATGCACACTAGAGCATTTTGCTTCAAAACTGTGGCTCACAATCTGGCTAGTCTTCTGAAATTAGAAGCTAGGGACACAGATCTAATCCCAGCTCTGATTCTGTTTCTTCTATATGGCCTTGAGCAAATCACAACCTCTCAGTCTACATTTCTTCATCTGCAAAATGGGGATAATAGTATTAACCTACCCACCTCAGAGTGTTTAATGATGATTAATTAATGTGAGAAAAGCACTCTAAAGATGTAAGAGCACTATATAAGTGATAAAGCATTATTTACCACTTGAAAAGTAATCTGAATAAAATCAGATATGCAAGTAATTTGTTTACATGTAGCAATAATATAATTTGTGACTATTTAATCTTGAATTAGTCTCACTTTAAACATCCCTTTCAATCACATTTCCAGTTACTTAGGGAAAATGACAGTATGGAATACTTTTTGTAGAAGCAAAGCAAGTAATGAGGTGGTAATTAAAGTAAGGGTCTAATAAAGTCTAAAACCAATGACTTGCCTTCAGGAGACTGTCCCTGCCATTTGGGATTGTAAAAATATCTCCATTTCAGCCTAGGTCCTTTTGCTCAGAACCTTCCACCAGTATATGCTGGTTTCCTGAAATGCAGATCCATGTTTGCAAGGCACGTGATAAATCCAACGTCATTTCCACTACTGACTTCCTTCAGGTGACTCCAATGATTCTGAATCTTAAATATTCCACATTCAACTATTTACTGCGGTTCATACATGCACATGAGCTGCTGCCATCTGGAAATGTTTGCAGTATCAAAACTCTCTCTTGCCATGCAACTCATGCATGAGATTTGTTCCCTCTTGTACCCCCAAACACTAAAATTTTACCCATGAAATTACCAGTTCACAATACCACTTTACATTACAGAACAACACTAATGGGTGGTCAAATGTTTAATCATCTCTTGGTAACAAGGATGTAACAAGCCACAGAAAAAATAAACTTTTAAAATTAATTTTCATTTTTTCCTCTAGGAAACTAGACAGTACTTGCCTAGAACACAGCAATCACTGATGGAGAAAGACAGAATTAACATTTGTACAATTGTTTTTCCTAGAGCCACATTTTCAATCAAAAAATGAAATAAAACTATTAAAAATTCTTCAGTCTGTTGGCACACTGTATGATCTAATGCAAAAGGAAGAAAGCATTTTTGAGCTCTCATATTCATTTATTAAATCATATTACTGAAAAACACTACATTTCAACAAATTATTAACATAAAACCCCCTTTAGGTGGAAACTTTTGTCTTTTGAAGAAATGTATTTGGGAAGAATACTGACGGAAAAGAGAAAGAAATCTGAATCATGGCAAATATTTCTTAAAAAAAATTCTACTTAGAAATATAGCCAGGATTTTTTTCCTTTCTTTACAAGAAAACAAGTGAAGATCTACTATTTTTATATTAAGTGTGTACACACCTGTGGGTCTGCATTTTTGCAGAAAAAGTAGTACATAACTATTATTCATCAATAAATAAATACTAAGTTCTGACCAAAATTATTTTGGGGAGCTCAAAAATTCTACAGAGCAAAAATCCCTAGGGCAGCAGGATGTCTACTGCTGAGTGAGTTCCATTAACTCCAAACCCACCAAAGTGGGGCAAGCGAGGAGCACAGAGTAAGAACTCATCCTTCACTGGCAGCAAGCCAGTGTCCACGTCCTGTAACTTCATCTTGAGACAAAGAACTCAAAACTCAGTATTTGAGCTGAGGTCAGGTAAACATATTTGTGTAGCTACAGCAGACCAGCACAGGCACAGAGCTCCCATGATCTAAGCAGCCCAACACCTCAAGCAGGTTTTGCAAGCTTTGATGCAGTTGATGGTGCAACAACTATGCTGCAAGCAAAACCTAAGCTTAACCAGCTTAAAATTGCCATGAGCTGTGAGACCTGCCTCACAGACATAGCTGCAGGCTGTGGTTCAGCTTTCAGCCACAGTCCTGAGTAAACTCAGCATCATCCCTCCCTGGCTCCTGCTACTCAGTTCCACTGCCTCATCCTCCCAACTCCAATACAATCTGCTGACAGACATTTGTAACTACATTAGGGATCCACATTGAATGAAAAATAGCCCAGGAAGGAGGGAAAAAAAAAAAAAAGTTTGGTTTTAAGCTGGATCCCAGCCCAGTTCACTAAGCACTGTCACAAATGTGACACCTTAAAACTGCTAAAGGACTGAAAAAAGTACACATGAAAAGATTAGTAAGTTGTTCAAATTTAAGTCATTTGGACAACTCACAGGATCATTAATGAAAATTTTGAGCAAGTGTCTGAGACTGTTGCTCCTGTGCTGCAGCCTATGCTAAGAGACGAGGAACTACAAAAGCAGCACCTGCACAGTGCAGCAGTGTCCCAGTGCCCTCACCACACAAACACAAAGCCTCAGTATACCTGCTGCTCTGAGAGCCCCAAGGAAAGCTCTGAGCCAGCAGATCCACCTGCAACACTGGAGGCTCAGACTAAAACAAAATACAATCTTGCAACCTCAAAGGATGAAAGAAGTACTTGAGTCAAGGAGCATCCAAAAGAACCTGTGTAGACAGGCTGTGAGCTTAACTTACAGAACGGAGATCTGCAAAGATAGTGAAGATGATTCCCAAATACCACCCTGGTCACTGCATCTACTCACAGCATCTGCAGACAGCTGTAAGAGCAGCACAACTCAGTTACATTTAAATTTTGTGCATGTAATCTCATCTACCCATTTTGGTTACCTATGAGGTTAGACGCACACAAGCTTGCCCTCTCCAGAATAAAGATGATGCTCTTTAAACTCTTTTGTGAATAGTCTCCTTCAATTACCATTAAAAAACCTACTGAAGATTTGTTAATTTATTTCACAACTCTTGACACTATATAAACTAGTGGGCATTTAACTCATACTAATAAGAACATGGACAAATATTGACTGAAAAAGTAGAAGTGATGATCAATTAACACTGGAGGAACAATAAGTATTCCATAAAAAGCTTCCAGATAATGAATGAATTAGCCCTTTTACTTGAATGCAGCACATGAAAAAACATTACTGGAACCACTGGCCAGGGTGGAATGTGTGTCATCACAAGTTTCCAAAAAAGTAATTGTCCAGGTACCTTTTAAAAAGGAATAGAGCATATAAAGCTTCACTCAGGTTCTTTTTAAAAGAAGCACATCAAATCAAGTTTCAGACACTCTGTTCCCTTTACTCAAACAGTTATTGTGCAAAATGAAGTCCTGCTGCACTGGTGGCTCATACCCAGGCTTCCTCTGGCTTCTGTGAACTTGGACATAGGCTGGAAAAAGTGCAAATCATGAGAGACACTGCATTGGAAAGCACATCTGAGGCTCATCTGTGAGTCCGTAGGCAAGCACTTCCAGATTTCCAGTGGCTCCTGCAGCAGCATTAAGTGTACAGGACCCTACTCTGCTTCACTGCTCCTTTTCTGACTGCAGGAACAGCTCTAAAACTGCCAAGTTGCTGATTTCATAGCACAGATATTACTTGGAAAAGGCAGAAGCAGTCAGCCCCAGAAGTAAATCATGTAAGAAGAGAGAACAATTTAAAAGAGCATAAGCTTAGGATTCTATGATTTGTTTCTCCATAACCCACCTACAGGTTGTTTAACTGTCAAAAAACTTGAGGCACCCAAAGATCTTGAAAATCATTTGGAAATTAAAGATCATACAGTTCTACCATTCAAATTCATAAAAATTAAGAATATGTCATAATGCACAATGACCAATGAGTTACAGTGAGAGCTGCACTCAATCTAATTGTGCTTTGCTGTCATGATGAGTGACAGGAGAGTCACTTCCTTGTCCTAATTTTTCTGAAAGGAAAATAAAAAAATGTGTTTGTCAGTGCAATACAAAAAAAACCCCAAAAAATATTGCCATCTAATACTGGAATCCTTTAGATTCACCATGCCTGTGTCTGCACTCTGCAAATGTCTCTTGGGTCTAATTGGTTCTGTAATGTCTCCCATTACACATATCGTCATTGCATTGCTCAGAAACTATAGAACATATCATCCCACTGTAAATTCACTGTCTACACAAGTCTTTCCAAATCATACACATCTGACTTGTCAACTTC